GAGGTTTACCTAAGGAAAAAGATAGGATTTAGGGTTTTATCTAAGGAAGGGATAAGGAATCAACATTCAATTCAATATTATTTGTATATACTTTATCTTGTTTTATTATTTTCAAAAAAATTACATTTAACATTTTAATTTATGGGAAAGTCTGTAACCGTTGCTAACTCGAAAGTGAGCTCGGGATGAGCCTGCCTTGTGATGATTCGACAAAGAACTTAAACAAGCTTAAATTGTCATAGTTGACCGACATAACCCGAGAATGCCAATAACTTATAACTATTTTAGGAATTTAAAATAATAAAACAAGATAAAGTATATACAAATAATATTGAATTGAATGTTGATTCCTTATCCCTTCCTTAGATAAAACCCTAAATCCTATTATCTGATGCAATTTCATGTAATTTTAAACAATCTCATTAAATTATTCTCCCAATAATCGAATAGATTTTCCTCTCCTTCTAAGTGCTAACTATTACTTTAAATTACATAAAAGTTTTTTGAACTAATTCATCAATGTTTAACCATTAAAGAATTTTTATTTTATTTTTTTTGAAGGGAACCATTAAATAGTTTAGTAAAATTAATCATTTAAAAAATAACTATGATAAAAATATATTACACTTATAATTGAGAGAGAAAACTGATTACATTATTATAATTTATAGATAAAAATGTCATTTTTCTATTTTCATTTAATAGGAATAAATAACTCTATAATTTTTTTTTTCTTCAACTCTATTAATTTTTAATTCTGAGATAATCGTCACGGAATAGGCATCCGATGCCGCCACGTGTTTTATCGTAGTCGATCGAATGGCGAAATTTGCACCAAGATTTCATAATAATCTAATAAATTTAGAATAAAGTAGAAACCTTCACCACATGGACTTTATATGCGTCACCAGGTATGACCTTAAGACACATGTTTGAATTGTGTACACATCAAGATGACTACTACTACTAGTGCAGTCTTTAACTCCATACTTAATACCTTCATTAATATTTGCACTATTATAATACTTATATGAATTTCAAACATCTGTACGGTGATGTTTTAGATTTTGACAATAATAACATTTGAATATGTTTAAATTTTCTAATTAAAAATAATTACACATCATTACGTCTCTCTAAAGTTTGTGTACATCATTACGTCTTTCTAAAGTTTATGTACAAAAATATTATATATTTTAAGAGAAGAAAAACATTCAAACATGTTCAACTTTTATAATTAATAAAATTGTCGCATATCATTACATGCATGTCTATAAAACATCAGTCTAAATTCCTCCATTCATTTAATCACACCAAAAAACTCATTGTTTATCAAAAATTTAAAATTACGATTATAAAATATAAGATCATTAGAACATGCAAAGCTAGCCATGAGTCAAAATTAGTACACTCCCTTAGGAGTATTAATGTATTTGCATTTTTCGGGCTAGAATGAATTTTCAAGCTAGTTAACTTGGAAAAGATTCACGTCTCTTATTTATGCTCCTATGGGTAGTGAAATGCAGTATACATGTTGATTTTAAGACTTGTATAGTTGACGATTGGTCAACATAATAGTTTGAAAAACAAAAAAAAAAAAAAAAAATTGCTAAGGAAGAATAAAATAACTACGAGGAAGTGCTTTATTACTTTATTAAAAGAATTGCAGACTAGGCCTTTACAATCCCAATTATATTTTAGGGTATTTATACACCTCAACTTACTTATAGTACTCAACCTAAATTAGAAAAGTAAATCAGCCCGGAGACTTAGCATAGTTGAGTCGTCGTCTGACTTAAAGGTCATGATAAGAGGCAACAATGTGCATGTATGAGAAAAAAGTTCAAGGATGCTGGAAGGTTTGGATTGAATCTCTTGTGCTCACATGAAGACTATGATTTAATCGGTTGACTGATTACGCGACTCGCAATTTACCTCCATAATAACTATAGGGGTGGGGTCCTGTGAATTTAAAATTAGTCCAACAAAACTGAGATAATTTACTTAAAAAAAAAAAAGAGTAAATCCCACAAATCATACGAATGATACGATTTGATTGCTTGTATAAAAAATTTAAAAAAATTTCCTAATTTTGACAACAAATCGTAGAAGCTATTCCTTAAAAAAAAAAAAAAAAAAAAAAAAAAAAAAAAAAAAAAAAAACAAAAACAAAAAACAAACAGACTGAAATTAGTTGAGGTGGAATACTAGACCTCTACTCTACTCATCAAATAGTAAACGAAATTTTGTTATTATTATTATTATTATTTTGGGTAAAGAAAGATGGGTTTCCTTTTTTTTTTTTTTTTGGGGGGGGGGTGGGGGGTGGGGGTGTAAAGGGGCAAAATGGGAAGAGGAGAAAGGTGATACTGGGGTAGAAAGAAGCTGTACGAGTCGGAACCTCCCTCAGTCCCCTTGGCCTGGCAAATGAAAGGCGAAGTTGCCTCCCTCCATTTTGTGGACCCTACTTTCCACATTTTCTCTCTCTATCGCTTATTATTACACCCAATTTCAAATGTTTTTTTTTTTTTCTTTTTCTTTTTCTCAAAGCAAAGCCGTTCTTATCAAGTACGTATCCATATGATATATTCCGCATTTCCACCCTTAATAAGTACGGCCTGACCCTACTCTCGACATTATATTATACTACTTAATATATAACTATAAAAATATCAACCTCCATTATCAATTTCGCACCTCATACCTATACCAATAAGAATCATAGTAAAAATCTAAATTTCTACTCGATCAAATATCATAATAATAGCCAAGGACCTTATAGTCCAGTGACACCAAATTATTCTTCCATATGAGAGATTGTAGATTCGAGATTTAGTGAAGATAATATTAACTCAATACTTAATACTACATTGTAATACTCAAAAAAAAATTATAATAATTTTTTCACTATTTCAAAAGGAAAGTATTATTCTTACTCCTAAATTCTATTCTCAACTTTTACTATATCATAATAATTATTTCACTATTTCAAAAGGAAAGTATTATTCTTACTCCTAAATTTTATTCTTAATTTTTACTTTCTCTCACAAAATTTTTATGTTGACATTTTTATTAAGACACACAGAATGAAAATAATTAGTCATTCGTTGAAGATTGACAACTTTAAGTGATATTGTACAAAGAGAACAAATATGATGCAAATATTTCAATAGGAGTAGTTAAACGTCCTAATTATCTAATTACTTCGTCAACTTAATTTACACATTAATACCTAACGCATCTAATTTTATAGGGGAGAAAATTTCAATTTTGGTCATATGACTATAGGGGTCTTGTTAATTTTAATCCTTGACTTTTAAAAGTGTCAATTTAGTACCTTAACTATGCAATTTTTGTCAATTTTGGTCACTCCGGTCAAATTGCCGGCCAAATTCCGTCAAAAAATTTTAATTGTTAAAATAATGAAAGTATTTTGATCATTTCACGTCTCTTTTCTTCTTCCCAAGCGAGTTCATCTCTTCCTTTCCTATTTCTGGCGAATGCAATGAACTAAGATAATGGGGAAAGGAGGCTTAATGGTATTAAAGATAGGGTTTACAGGGAGAAAGAACACCTGAAACGGGAGAGAAAGGGATGGACTCGCCGGAGAAGAAGAAAAGTGGCATGAAACGACCAAAATACCCTCATTATTTTAATTATTAAAATTTTCCGGCGAAATTTGGCCGGAGTGACCAAAATTGATAAAAATTGCATAGTTAAGGTACTAAATTGACACTTTTAAAAGTCGGGGACTAAAATCAACAAGACCCTATAGTCATATAACCAAAATTGAAATTTTCTCTTTTATAAAGTAAATTCAAACTGTTATGACTTCGATTATTATATACATTATTATTTCTTCCAAACTCAATCCCTGGTCATTCTTCCAACTTTTCATCTCTGTGACCAGTTGAGCTGTCCATGCGGGTATATATACATTATTAATTAAATTGACAAATGGTGATTATTAGATTAAATATATATTTTTGAAAGAAAGGAGGATTACATCCTAGATCAGTATCTGATCCCCATGGCCGATTTTTTTTTATTTTTTTGTGTGGCCCCGTTCTTATAAATAAATGAGGCCTTACTAAAAGTATAAGTGCAATCTTTAAAACAAATACTGTAAAACATATAATTTTATTTCAAATAAGTATGGACAATGTAACACCACCTGAATGCAAAAAAACACAGTTCCTACTATAAAATATTTGATTTTTATATTTCAAATAAATATGTACGGAATAAATATTATGCTCTCTAAAAATTGAGGTCCTGTGCTGTTTCCTATCTTACACCCCCAAAGTCCAACCATGTTGATCCTCACAGTGTTCATCCTCACGTAAGTACCTTTGCATGCTAGTAGTAGCATGCTCGTAGACACTGTCTTCCTCATCATCATTAAGAGCTAGCCTGTTTGGAGATCGATCAAGTCGGCATTGACAAATGGTGATTATTAGATTAAATATATATGGCCTGAGAATTGAAGCTGTCAAATATTAGTTTTGTTTAAATTAGTATAATTATATGATTGCGTGTAATATATATTAATCACACGTACAATGAATGATATATACCTATTATCTTCTTCTAAAAGGCTAACTCAACTGAACCACAGAACTTTGATGAGACTCGATTCCAAATCATTTTTCTAAAGTTTCACCTTTGTGACCAGTTGAACTGTTCATGCAAGTATATATACCTATTATCTTGATTTGTAATGAAAAATTCTTAATTTTCTAAGAGTTATAATAACTTATAAATATGCATTTACTTGCTTTCCATTTCAACGTTAAAAAAGAATATTAAAATTATAAAGAGGATATAAAATGTTGATTATTAAAAGTACTGTGTTCTCGAGTCTCGACGTTGATTGAGACCTTACAGCACCGGCTTCCGGTCTTCCACTATCAAAAAAAAAAAAAAGATTCGGTAGAAATTTTGCGGATTAGTACAAAATGTGAGTGAGTACGTACGTTTCGTCCGGACCGGACCTGAATATGTCCTTCCTCACATACTTTCTCCACCGAGTGAAATGGTCCACCTTGAAAATCAATTCCACTTTTTTTTCCCTCTTCCCAAACTGCCCTCCTCAATTTTCCATCCTTTTCTGTCCTTTACCGTACGGCACTTACGTTTCACTCCTCCAATGCCCACAATGCCCTTCTAATCGGCCTAGATTACGCCTGAGATTGCGAGGGTGTTTACGTCTTTTTACAATTGATGGGGGGAGGGCAGTAGAGTAAATTGGATGTTCTTCTTCTTCGCTGGATTATCAACATATCTAGACAAGGCATGAGTGCTTTTCTGTTAACGGTTGTTTCTTAATCTACCAGACATTTTTTGGTGATATCGGAGCTTTGTATTCAGTAAAAGAAATCTGTATCTTCATCGCCTGGGCCTTCAAAGTTCATATCTCCCCCGAGAAGACCTATAAATTCTTCGTCAGAACCATCCAGTCTTCTCGGCTTTTCGATCTTCCTCGGGAAATCAAGGCTGAAGCAGCAAAATCTTGGGTTTTAGATGTAGAAAAGCCTCAAAGTTGACTTTTTTTGCTGTTGGGTTCGGAAAAGGTTCAATCTTTGCAGCAATGAAGAAGCAGAAATCCAGCATGGACTCCAGTTTCAACCACTTTGATCGTCTCTCCGAGGAGATTTTGTTCACGGTTCTTGATTGCCTGAATGAAAACCCAGCCGACAGAAAATCCTTCTCTCTCGTCTGCAAGGCATTCTACAACGCCGAGTGTTCCGACAGAAAAGCGCTGAAGCCCATGCGGTCGGAGCAGCTGACAAAGATTCTCAAAAGATACCCTCACGTTTCCCATCTGGATCTCTCCCTGTGTCCCAGGATTTCAGACGATTCCCTCGCGGTGATTGCCGGTTTCTGCAGGGAAATGTTGAGGTCAATCAATCTGTCTAGGTCTAAGTTCTTCACCCACGCGGGGCTGTCGAATTTGGTGACGAATTGCGGGAATTTGGTGGAAATTGATCTGTCAAACGCCACGGAATTGAAGGACATGGCGGCGGCCGTCATAGCAGAAGCTAAGAATCTGGAGAGGCTGTGGTTGGTGAGATGTCGGGGCGTTACTGATATTGGAATTGGATGTATTGCTGTTGGGTGTAAGAAGCTGAGACTTCTCAACTTGAGATGGTGTTTGGGTGTTGGAGACCTCGGAGTTGGTCTGATTGCTGTCAAATGTAAGGAGATTCGTAGTTTGGATCTCTCATATTTGCCGGTAATGAATCTTTTCTTTACCCCTTAGCTTCATGCTTCATTGCTTAAAATCTTAAATGTTGTCTTTGTCAATAGTTATTTGTTTCTTGTTACTGATTTTGGGCTGCAAGGAAACAAAATGGCCATAACATAGCTTTAAGTAGAGATGAGAATGCTAAGATAGATGTCTGCAAATGTAAGACCAGATCATTTTAGCAATTAACATGTTCTTTGTTGGTAATTTGTGTTTCTTGCATGTATATGTTGAGCATATAGCCATTACTGTGCAATCCAATTATCAGCTTAGGCTGCTTCAATTTGGTATCAGAGCCAGACCTTTGGTCTTACTGCAATCTTCTTTTGTTTCTTACTGTACAGTTTATGTGATTTGTTGATTTTCTTGTCTTTCTTGGTCTGCAGATCTCTAATAAATGTTTATCATCGATCTCGAAGTTGCAAAATCTTGAAGATTTGGTGCTAGAAGGATGCTATGGTATTGATGATGATAGCCTTATAGCTCTCAAACAAGGATGCAAATCACTAGAGGTATTTATCTGGTTTAATTAGCAAGTTTGTCACTTTTGTAATGTCTCTGTTCCCTGAAGTTCTTACTTTACCCAAAAGGCCCAATTTTTTTGTTTGTTCACGAGATATTAACTGCAAACTTCATGTTTCCAGACACTTGATATGTCGAGCTGCCAGAACGTTAGTCCTGTGGGTTTATCTTCATTGACGAGCAGTGCTGGATGTCTTCGACAACTTACCTTGTCGTATGGTTCTCCTGTAAGCCCCGTAACACTTTCTCACGAATTTCGTTTTCACCCGTTACTCACTATCGTTGGTGAACAGGTCACTCTTGCTCTGGGCGAGAGCTTGCAGAACCTTTCTATGTTGCAGTCCATTAAACTGGACGGTTGCCAGGTGACGTGTTCTGGACTCAAGGCCATTGGGAACTGGTGCGTGTCGCTGAAGGAGCTGAGTTTAAGTAAATGCCCGGGAGTTACGGATGAAGGTCTTTGCTCCGTGGTTACGAAGCACCGAGAATTACAGAGGCTAGACATCACTTGTTGCCGCAAGATAACTCACGTGTCGATTTCCAACATCACGAATTCGTGCTCCTACCTGACTTCGCTCAGGATGGAGTCTTGCACTCTGGTCCCGAGAGAAGCGTTTGTTTTGATCGGACAGCGCTGCCGGTTTCTCGAGGAGCTTGACGTTACGGATAACGAAATTGACAACGAAGGTCACCGCTGTTCCCTGATTCTGTGACAGTTGTTCTTGTTTGAACTCGGGATTTGATTATAATTGTTTGCAATATGTACATGCAGGCCTAAAGTCCATTTCAATGTGCTCGGGACTTTCCTCGTTAAAATTGGGCATTTGCTTGAACATAACTGACAAGGGGCTTATCCACATTGGCATGTGCTGTCCAAATCTCAAAGAGCTCGATTTATACAGGTCTGCATTTTGTTGAGCATATAACCATTAATGTGCAATCCAACTATAAGCTTAGACTTTTAGTTGAGATGGAGCACATGCTTCAATTATAGTCCACCGAAAATGATCATTTCAATGATAATTTTAATGAATTGGTAACTTTCTTGCGGAAGCTTATTATTTGCCTTAACTGACAGGTCTGCTGGAGTTACTGATTCGGGTATTTATGCGATTGCTCGTGGTTGCCTCAGCCTCGAGATGATTAATATAGCCTATTGCAATCGTATTACCGATCATTCCTTCGTATCGTTATCCAAGTGTTCAAAGTTAAACACGCTCGAAAGTAGAGGATGCCCACTTCTCACATCGTCGGGACTAGCTGCAGTTGCTGTCGGTTGCAAGCTACTCGCTAAGCTAGACATTAAGTGGTGCTACAATATCGACGACTCGGGAATGATTTCGCTTGCTCAATTCTCGCAAAATCTCAGACAGGTATGCTGTTTCTTCCCCATCACTTGAACCCTGAATACGAACTTCTAACTGACACTTCATATTCGTCGATTCCATAGATAAACTTGTCGTACACCTCGGTCACGGATGTCGGTCTCTTGTCCCTCGCTAGCATCGGGTGTCTCCAGAGCATGACGGTACTCCACGTGAAGGGGCTGAGTCCTAGTGGACTAGCTGCTGCTCTTCTGGCCTGCGGTGGACTGACAAAAGTGAAACTGCCATCTTCGTTTAAATCTATTTTTCCACAACCTCTCATCGAACATTTACAAGTACGAGGTTGTGGTTTCCAGTGGAGCGACAAGGCGTTTCAGGTATGCTTTTATCTATCTCAACCTCAGCCAATTCTTTTCAACAAAACATAATCAAAGAACATGTGTATATAACATTAAACATTACACATGAAAGTTGGATTTTTGGGTTACACATGAAAATTGGGGTTTAAAGTTTGGTAATATACTAATATCCACATGATATGCACAACATTGAAGTGTGCTAACTAGACTTTTCCATGTATCTTGCTTTGACTAGCAGGCGGAATTAGACCCGAAATGCTGGAAACTTCAAATGGACGACGTGGAGTAAAGACTAAAGATCCACCATTTGATGATTAAACTGCGGCTTTTTAATCGAATTTTTTTTGTGGATTGGTACATTTATAAACTCTACTGATCATATCTCTTACAGACAGACAGTAGAGAAAATTTGTCTGTTAATCAATGTCATTAAGGAAGGTTCTTGTTCATCATCAATTTCAAGAATGGCAAAGTCAAGATTTTGGTTGGAACATGTTTTGAAAAGTAGTTGTTGTTGGAGCCTGTGCATAAGATTCTAGAACAAAACATTAGCGTACAAAACCAGCATGTGCTTGACTATTTTCGCCTAGAGAATATCTTCAACCATACGAGATTCAGATACTAAAATAGTTCTATTGATACTACTCAACAAGTTAAGGGATTGTGTAATTAATGATCAAAATTCCCACCTCCCTCCATCGGCCCATCCCCTTGATGGTTAGTTGGCTCGGTAATTATAAGATTTTAAATTTAAATTTTTGTTAAGAGTGGTCTCTTAATCTTTTTAATTTGCGGTGATTAGTTATCGACAATCAAGAAGTCTTTTGCCAGCTAGGGACATAAGACACCAATAGTGCACATTCAAATAGTGGTTGATTGTAGACTTTCCTGATAATATTTTTAAAAAAAATTATCAAAAAAAGATAAAAGATTTAATTGTGTATACATTCTTCCAAAAGTCTGAACACCAACCCTAAGGGCATTTAATTGTATATACATAATAATACAAGATGAAGACAAAGAAACTCTCAAGATCGATGGATATAGACACAGAAAGGGCAAAGAAATATACAAAAATGGAAAGAACAGACGCATCAACTTAGTAGGCGTGAAGATTATGATAATCTTCATTGTCCAGTGCTACCTAGGATTGGGCCCCCTTCACAGATCACAAATGTCATAACCTTTAAAAAAATGGAAGATTAGATTGGCATTCTCATCACAAAGCCGTCAAGCAAAAGACTTCCATCATCTCAGTACTCGACAAAACAGACTTTCATCAATCTCATTCCAACCTTAAGTATTAATTTTATATTATGGGGTTTTTGGTAAATAACTGTTAGCTGATTGAGTTAGTGTGTTTGACTAGTTGATAGCATTAACTAATTGTAAGGAGATGTTTGCTAAATTAACTGTTAGCTGATAGCTGATTACAGCATACAAAATAACCTTCTCAAAAAGCTAATCGAAAAAGATGTTTTGAGCAGCTTTTTGAATTTTAGTGTTTTGGAGCAATAAGCTGTGTAACAAGTTAATTAATCAAACATTTATATTGGTTGTTTAACCAAATAAAACAACTCATAGTGGTCAAATAAGTCAAAATTTCTTTGCCTTCGGCGCTTGAAGGTCACAGCAGCACTGAACACATGTCACAGCCTACCTAAATCACGCGTGACTGTTTACCGCGTTAGCCTAACTTGTTAACAAATTTTCAATAGTATACGTGTTCTCTACTCCGATCTAACTATATGAATACTGTGTTCTACCAATTAACTTGAAAATAGATATAACTTATAAAACTCTAGTACATATTTTCTAACCTAATCAGAGTTTTTCAAACTCACGTATAACTTGAGATTGTAATTGATATTTTTACTAACATTAATAATATTATTACTTCATTTCATTATCTCTCAACTTTATATTATAATACATCGCTGTGTATAAATCCTATGCCATATCAGAAACTTAAGCATGATTCTCTTTTTGAGACAAAGCAAGTAAGTACTTTTACAATTAAATTATTTAGTATTGGGAAGAATTAAATTATTTAGTAGTTTAAACCAAACCAATAATTTTATAGAGTACCCTAAAAAAAAAAAAAAAAAAAAAAAAAAAAAGCAAAAATATCATCCCCAAAAAAGTCTTCGTGTCGTGTACAGAGGGGAATCGCGAAATACAATTTTGGAATAAGCGTATGTTACGATGCACATGTGCTGCTTAGTATACGGAGATGTTGAAGCACATGTCGGACTTTATGAATCAATTTAAACTGCTCACTAAAAATAAAATTTGAGTTTCCAAAAAAAAAAAAAGAAATCTTTTTCTTTTAATAATCTGACAAATTTATCAGACGATTAACTTAATAATTATAAGATTCTAAGAGTAACCTATTAGCGTTATTGGTTTGAGTTGGTTAACTATGATTTACTCAATCTTTTAATAGTGATTATAAGTTTCTCTCGTGATTTAAATAATAAAAAAAATGACGTGGCATGATGACATGTGAAGCGCGGAGCGTGCGGTGTACTGGCGCGCAGGAGATCGTGTCACCTCCAGTCTGATTCAGCCGCCGAGTGCCGGTCAAACCCACAAGCTTTGACTCGAGCAAAGACAGAAATATGTGTTTTCCGCGGTCAAACCTCCATCAAGCTTCCTAGAAGAAGCCTCCATGACCTTTTCACCAAGCAATCCACCACCATACATATTAAGCATCCATCACCTTCTTCCTCACAAAATCTTTCTTCTTTTCCCATCTTCAATTCTCTCCTCCGTTTATGTTCTCTGCAAAAACCTGAGATCGATCCAACCAACGCCGCAAAAGCCAGTCAAAAATGAGTTCTTCAGGTGGAAGTTTGAACACTTGTGTGGATTCCCATCACCACAACAACTCCTATTCTTCCTTCTCCTCCTTCTCCTTCACCGATCTTCTTTCCAACAACGAAGAATCCAAGAACCCAGAAAAGGGTTCTTCTTCTTCCTCCTTTAGCTGGGGGATTTCTGACACCCACGAAATCCCAAAGTTCAAGTCTTTCCCGCCGGCGTCTTTGCCTATATCACCTTCTCCGGTGTCTCCTTCGACTTTTCTTAATATCCCCCCGGCCTTGAGCCCTTCTGTGCTGTTGGACTCTCCTGTCTTCTTCTCCACCTCAAATGTAAGCTTTTGCACTACTTTTTTTTTATGCCGTCTTGCATTGACTTTGAATTGTTTATGGGTTTTTGGAGCATCATTATTGGTGTTTAGCTAATGGTCGTTTGTTTTCGAGGGGTTTGGGGTTGTGCTAATTAATGTTGTTTTCTGCGCAGATTCTTCCGTTATCTCCGACCACTGGTGCGTTTGCTGGATTAAATAACCCTAAGGAAGATGAAAGGAAGAGCAATGATTTCTCCTTCCAAAGTAGGGCTGCATCCTCTTCATCCATGTTCCAGTCTTCTCTGGGAAGAAATTCAATGGTAAATATATGTTTCATTTCACTTTCTGTGTTCAGCTCAACCATAGTTTTACATAGTCACTCCCACTAATTGTGTTATAACTTCCATACATACATAAACACATGCATATATACACATATACATACATAATTTTCTGTGTATGTGTAGGTAATTTTTAGTACAAAGTTAAATTTAAGAGAGATTTTTTTATTTTTGAGTTAATACGTAAACCTGTAGTTACTATTCGCTTTTAATTTAAACCCCGCCTTCTGATCCTAGTAAGCAGAGATAAACTAACCCAATTACCCATGGCTGATGAGTTTAAACCAAGAAGCTAAGGCAAGTAGGCCGTTTCTGCTTAAAATAAATTGACCAACTTAATTGGAGTTGTCTCTTATTTAGTATTTAGATGTATATGGATGTTAACAAAAACCTTCACAAAGTTTGAAGAAAAATAAGTATAGAGACATAGTTGGCTTTGTACAAAAGTGAAACAAGAAATTTAAGGTCGGGTTTGGACATCATTAAAACGTTGAATCCAACCGATTGATTAGTATAGTTCATGATATTATAAACTCATTTCTTTCTTCCTAATTCATGGACGCCGAGGAAACATTATTAAATGAGTGTTTTGCCTTTGTTTAACCAGGAAGAACAAATGTCAAGGCAACAACAACCAAACATGGGATCTGCAGACTTCTCCACAATAATGAAGACTGATGTAAAACCAGAATTATTGCCTCAAACCCATAGCTTCTCCCAGGAAAACCCTGCGATGCAGCAGCCTGCAATGGTGCATTACAGCCAGCCATCTCAGTATGCAAGAGCCCAGAAGTCAGAGGATGGGTACAACTGGAGAAAGTATGGTCAGAAGCAGGTGAAAGGGAGCGAAAACCCGAGGAGTTACTACAAATGCACATTCCCAAACTGCCCTACAAAGAAGAAGGTTGAGAGAAACCTGGATGGACACATCACTGAGATTGTCTACAAAGGCAACCACAATCACCCCAAGCCTCAGTCCACCCGACGATCATCATCGTCTTCCCAGTCAGTTCAGATCAACCCCGAAAGCTTTAACATTGACGCCACGAACCAATCAAACATGCTGCTTGGAAGCACTCAGCGCGACAGCTTTATCACCCCTGAGAATTCCTCGGCTTCCTTTGGCGATGAGGATCTCGAGCAGGGCTCTCCATCCAGAGATGACGATGAAAACGAGCCTGAAGCTAAGAGATGGTGAGTTTTAACTTTTAAGGCTATAGAATGTCGAATTTTGGATGGTTATATATAGTTGGTTAATTAGTACTAATGATATTTATGGTGGGGTTTCTGCAGGAAGGGTGACAATGAAAATGAAGCTATATCATCTGCAAGCCGAACAGTGAGAGAGCCAAGAATCGTAGTTCAGACAACAAGTGACATTGATATTCTTGACGATGGTTATAGATGGAGAAAATATGGACAGAAAGTTGTCAAAGGAAACCCAAATCCTAGGTAAGGTTACAGGAATTTCTGTCACATTATTACATCCTTAAAACTGTCATGGAACTTCAGTTGTCCTAATATTCATCTTACAATTCTCTGCAGGAGCTACTACAAATGCACGTTTCTGGGTTGCCCCGTAAGAAAGCACGTGGAGCGAGCATCCCATGATCTTCGGGCAGTGATCACAACCTACGAAGGAAAGCACAACCATGATGTTCCTGCAGCACGGGGTAGTGGGGGCTACTCCCTCAATAAACCTCAGCAACCTCAGCCTGCAGGTAACATGGTCAGCAGTGCAGCACCTGTTGCGTTGAGGCCTTCAACGATGCCCAACCACTCGTTGAACTACCAGAACGCCATTTTTAACCCGAGGCCACAAGCCACACAGAGCCAACAGCCGATAACCTTGCAGATGTTGCAGAGACCTGCAGGGAATTTAGGGTACTCGAGCTTCGGGAACAACTACATGTCCACTGGAAAAGAGGAACCTAAAGATGATTTCTTCAGCTCTTTCCTAAACTGAGATTTCCCAGGAACAAACCCGAAGAAGATTATGAGAGCAATACTGGTATATATAGCCATATAGATTCGTCTCTTTCCAATAGAAAGTTTTTGCTGATTTATAATGTCAGACAGTAGTTTAAGAATTCATAGGTTTATGGTTGTCAGATCTTAGGAATCAAAATAAAAGGTAGTGTATTTTTTTCATTTGTTCAATGTATCGCTAAGATGCATACATGTAAACACAGTTGTTCAATTCATTTACTAATTAATTAAAAGTATTAAACTGCAATTTTTCAACACTTTCTTGATGCCTATTGACCTGTTAAAATCAGCAATAAAGGATCATTTCATAGGAGAAATCAAAGATCAACAGAAACTGGGTTTTGGAGAGGATAAATGAAACTCTATTAACTGTACTTTTTACACCAAGATTCAGCACACATGTACATGGCCAAAGTTTATGTGTATAATCTACAAACGAAAACCAAAAACTAATGACAGAAAGAATCATCGTACAAGTGTCTGGTATGATGGTGTAATCAAATGTAGGACTGGCGAGAAAATTTATATCCAGAAATGACAGCCGAAATCGCCATAGCAAGGAATGCCAAGAACTCCATACTTATAGCTGATGCAGAGGAATCAGTAAATAGGTTGTCATTGTTTTCTCTCATCTTATTTGTCAGTGGCACTGCAGATGATGCTGAGGATATTAACAAGTATGCTGCCACCTGCAATTTGTTGAACAAGAACAAAATGAATATAGGGCAACCCAGCCAAGTTACTCGAGATGTCTGGACTCCAATTCGGAGCAGCCTATTAGCTTTTTTGGTTTGAACCGATCAGCTATGTCGGTTAGGGTCAACTGGGTCGAGTTGTCTTGGTAACCATAAGGTTCCAAGTTCGACCACTACCAGAAAAAGACTATTAGCTTTCTTGGTTTGAGCCGGTCAGCTATATACTAGTGATCATCGGTTAGGGTCGATTGAGTCGAGCTGTCTCGGTATCACAAGGTTCTGAGTTTGACCATTGCTGGGAGCGTTTTATTAGTCTTCTTGATTTAAGCCAGTCAACAATAAACAAGTGATTATTTGTCAGTTAGGGTCGACTATGATTACCCAATACACACACTCTGGTAGTGGTTATGGGTTTCCTTTGTCACACATAACCAAATGAATATTCAAGAACTCATCATTCAACAATGGAATGAGAAAAAGAATTGAAAATAAAACCAACCTGATCACCAAAAAAGTCTATCATAGCCCAATTTCGTCCGGAAGAGTATATTTTTCCGGTGGAAAGTTCATGGAGTTGCCGGAAAGTCTGCAGTCCAGAATACAGAGTAGACAGAATCGATATTGCCAGCACATACCTATTCATCACGAAATCCCACAATTCACTTTCGTAATTCGTAAGGAAACCAAAAAAAAAAATCAAAAAAACCCACGATCGTACTATGAAAGACTAAGCATTTATGTAAAATTAGGATCTGGGAATGCCTGTATTCCTCGTATCTGTCGAAATCTTTCCAATCCCCATGCTTATTACTAGCCATGATGATGAAGGCGAGCAAGGAGAAGAGCAGAGCGGCGGCGCGAGCGCCCAAAGAAGATTTCTTGAGCAAATCCTCCCTCTTCCACCGCCGGACGATGTTCCCCACTCCGGTACCCATCCCCGCCGCCGTCTGGCTCTCGACATCCCGGGCGCCGGCGCCGGGAGGTGGCGGTATCGGAGCCGGCACAGTCTCCGCCTCTTTCGCCGAATTATCCATGAGATCCGACATATTCTCCTGGGAATCAGAGATCTTTGAGTACGGTGAAACAATCGACTAAGAACAAAAATCTCTGCTAAGAAGTCAAGTGAATAGAAGAATGGAGGGTGGATCGGATATGATGTGGCTTGGAAGGGAGACAATTGAGAAGTTTACGAGGGGAAGCAATGGGAATTTGACAGATCAGATATTTTTTTATTTGTTTAATTTAGTAATCCAAACAAAATGGGTAATGAATTTTGAATGAAAAGTTGTTTCTAAAAACAGTTAATATGGATTAATTAATAGTAACAGAAAATAAATGCTGAGCTGGTAAGCCATGTGGCAACAAATGGCATTGGAATCTTCGGGAAAGTTCATGATAGGTTGTAACGAACAAGAAGAAGAGTTAGTTATATTGCCGCGAAAAGGGAAATTCCTGATTCTAACTAACTTATTAGGTTCCTGCGGTATCTGGTTGCATCAATCTCATAGTACTACAAAAGCCACATCGCTCCCAAGTCCCAACGCGAACGATCTATTGACCTCCATGATTTGAGCCAATCAGCTATATAGACAATCTAGATCAATCTACTTATTTATGGTCCTTTTTGTCAGCTAGAACACAAAGTGTGGTAGTTTATTCAGGCTACACCTTCAAATAGTGACTACGAGTTTTCATTGTCACTTAAAAAAAAAAAGTAACTAGTTATTTAGATAATTTGTATAATTTCATAATATTTAATAGCTTAATTGCAAATTTTTATCTAATTGCATATTCACATCTACTTTAGTGATGGACTCTTTCTTCTTCTTCTTCTTCTTCTTCTTCTTCTTCTTCTTCTTCTTCTTTTCATTTATTTGTTATGGAACTTGTCAATATATTGATTAATATTGCTGTTTTGTTTCAAATCTAAAGACAAGCTTCATCTTCATCTTCTTCAAAAATTAACAAATGACATTAGTCAAGGGTGGTGAAATGTTAGCACCAAAAAAAAAAATAAATAAATAAATAAAATAAATAAAAATTAACTTTCTATGTTCACTAAAAAGAATTAGGAATGACCAGTGCAATGAAAAAAAAAAAAAAAAAAAAAAAAAAAAACATAGTATTAATTTTACTTAAAGCAATCAGTGATTTAGAGAATTTGCATGATTTTAGCTTAGTATCTCAATAGTAATTTTTTTTTTTTAAATACATTTAGTAACCTAATTGCTATTCATATGTAGTTTAGTGGGATTTTTTTTAATCTATTATTAGATTTGTTCATATATTGATAATAAAAAAGAGCAGCATAGTTGTTGCCTCCTTTTAATATACAAATATAATCTTTTTGTAATATAATATATTACTACTTTTTAATTTTTATTTAATAATTATAAAAAAAAAAAAGAGAGAGAAATGGTATTTGTATTACTTAGCTTTTATATTTTATATATATATATATATATATATATATATATATATATATATATATATATATATATTTTATATCAAATGATAATGACTTGTAATAAAGGTACTATTATTTATACGGAATATTTATTTGAGTAATACTACGTTCCCCTTTTAATTCCATCTCCTAATTAATTTTCATTTCTTACAATATTTGATTGTTTTTTTTTAAATAATTGATTAATAAGTAAATTTCAAAAAATAAGTAAATTTCATTTTTTTTTTTACATTGGATAGATCGACAATCGATTAATTGTAACCAATAAATAAAACGAATTTTATATGCCACGCCAAAAGGTAAATATTAAGCGGTAAAATCATGAATAGCATTATTGTTGGGGGTTCGATCCTCACCCATGTGAATGGAGCAAACCAATTGGCCAGTCCCCTATCACTTAGTGTCGGCCAGAAGATTCCCTTTGGGCAAAAAAAAAATTGAATAGCATTATTGTATTCATTTAATTACCATCCATAAACTAACCAAATACATTATAACCTAAACTAATGAAAGTGAGATGTATCTCAATTGACCTAAATGCTTGTACATTACTCATAATAAGGTCAAATTCTTATATCTTTTTTTGGTATCTCCTTGTTTAATCATTGGTAGGGTTCAAACTTTGTACTTTCCTTTTTTGGTATCTCCTTGTTTAGTCATTGGTGCAATTCAAACGCTACACTTTGCAATGCTAACAAAACTAAGCTTATGAAATTATTTTGGATTAGTTTATCAATTAAGCTAAGGATAGAATATATCATATTTGTCTTTGGTGGAAAGATATTTAATTGTTGACTTTGAACTGCATTGAGATTAAATAGAAAAAAATAATAATAAAAGAGGTTTCATGATTTGGGCCCAATTGCAATATATGGACTCAGGCCCACTTATTAAGCCTCTTGCAAGATCATATATTTTGGGCCATCACTCGTTTTCGTTAATTTTTGCTCATCTCCATCACTATAACAAAGAAAATATTTGTACTAAATTTTTTGTACTAAAATATTACAGCAGTATTTTTTTCTATAATTTATCATTTTCTGTTTTTTTTTTTTTCAATTTAGAAAATATGTTTACTAGCATGTGCTTTTTAACTCATTATTTTCATTTTTTCAATATAAAAAGTTTTCTAATGAAATTAGGAATAAGGGTCAAATAGGCCATCGAATTGCACACAATAATGCATTTAGGCCACTGAACTTAAAAAAACAACAATTGGGTCCCTAAACTAACTATTTTCATGCAATTAAGCCAATTTACAGGTTTTACAAGTTAGTAACAGGTCACCCAAGTTTTAAAATATATTTTGTAAATTATTATTTAAAAATAATATTAAAAAAAAAAAGTTTAACCGTCTCCGGCAGAGCGAGGAAACATTTTTTTTTAATTTATTATTTTTTAAAATAATAATTTTTTAAAAAAATTTTAAATTTTTTGGGTGACCTGTTACTAACCTATAAAACCTGTAAATTAGACTAATTGAATGAAATTTGTTAGTTTAGTGGTCTAATTGTTGTTTTTTAAGATTCAGTGGCCTAATTGCATTATTGTGTGCAGTTCAATGGCCTATTTGACCCTTATTCCATGAAATTATTATGATTTTTTTTTTTGTTTGAAAACCGAAATTATCATGATTTGATTAAACTCAAGATAAATTAATTAGACAGACAGTGTCAAAAAAAAAAAAATTATAATGACATCATTATTAAAAAATTCGAGAATTATTAGTTACTTGTAAACCCTCATATGGGAGAAATTTAAGGTTGGATAGGGCAACAAGGAACCAACAACTGTAAGAATCATCAATGTTCGAAAATAACGTCTGATTTATGATATTTATGTCAATTTCTTTCAACAAAAAAAAAAAATGTCAATTTCTCTCAATCTTCAGATATGGTTTCCTAATCATACCATTTTGTCCCTTCAATAACACCAATGTTATCATCTAATTGAACTTCCAATTTTGCCCCTATTTATTCTTTTCATTTATCCACTTATACGCCCACCATTTATATAAGCCCAAAGTTGATTGTGGGCCCATGAAATGCTGTCATGGGCCCACTAAATGGTTGGAACCAACCAACCAACCCACTTACCCGATTAACCAATATTCCAAAAATGCTTAATTGCTAACCGTATCCGTATGTAAATGTGGCGGTGTTGTCGCTGTCCAAAGTTGAAGGGGCATTAGCTGTAAAACGGCTGCGCATATGATATGTTTCATTCCCCTTTCCCTTATGTTCCATATCTTCTTAGCTAGGGTTTCTCAATGAGAGGTCGAGAGCAATTGTAATTTTATAGAATTTTCATATATCCTAGTTACAATATTATATGTATAATGCCATGTGCAATTCAACTGGTCATAGAGGTGAAAGTTGAAAAGAATGATCAAGGATCAAGTCTCACCAGCAGTGCAGGAGCAAAAGTCTAATCTCTGTGATGAATGTTCAGTTACCGTGATTTACATCCATATGCTCTGGGCTCTTTGTGCGCAGCAAGCAGCAAAAGTCTAGTCTCTATGATGAATGTTCAGTTACCGTGATTTACATCCAGATGCTCTGTCGGGTCGAGATGTGGGGCCTTTAGGGTTGGGGCTTAACCTTCTGGAAAGAATACTATATGTATAATTTTTTAAACGATAAAAGAAAATTTATAGTTATTATGTAAAATAAAAGTGCTATAATTTAATTATTGAGTTAATACCCAAAATCGTTCTAGACTATAGTGTTTTTTCTCAATTTCGTCCTAAACGACTTTGGTGACCTAATATCGTCCCAGACTTTTGTGTTTCGCTCAATTTAGTCCTCCGTTTGTTATTCCGTCAAATTGGTGTTAAATAAAGGGACAATTCAGTAATGCCAATATTGATCTCTCTTTACTTTCAACTTGTGAAATGCGAAATTCCTCTTTCTTGTACGAATTACACTCAAAATTACTCCCGGACCTACAAATCAAATTTTATATTCACAGTTTTAGGAGTAATTCTGAGAGTAATTCGTAAAAAAAAAAAAAAAAAAAAAAAAAAAAAAAAAAAAAAGAGATTTCGCAGTTCACATGTCTATGAGTAAAGAGATGCCAATATTAAAATTACTGAATTGTCTATTTATTTAACACCAAATGGACATCATAACAAATGAGGGACTAAATTGAGCAAAAATACAAAAGTCTGGGACTAAATTGAGCGAAACACAAAAGTCTGGGACGATATTAGGTCACCAAAGTCGTTTAGGACGAAATTGAGAAAAACCACTATAGTCGATGACGATTTTGGGTATTAACTCTTTAATTATTCTTACCTATTATAGATGCAATAAATGCACATAACCTTTAAAGAAAAAAAGAAAAAAAATTCGTCCATCCATTGTATAGGGGTTGATGAGTTGATTTCAACTAAAGTTCTATAGGCGGGGAGGGGAGGGGCGGGGCCTATGGCTATGATTGAAGAAAGAAGGGACAAATTGCAAAAGAGGGCCACATAACATGCGATGCAATAATATGAATGTAGAATATTATGGCTAAGCAAAGAATCATTAAAGATGATTAATGTCGATTGCAATCTTTGTCAATTATTATGCTCAGCTAAACTGATAAGAATTTCTATCTTTCTTTTTTGCTTTCGTACTCTTTGGACTTTGTTAGATGCTTAAGGGATTCCATATATTTATTCTATAGAACTTGGTTAATTATCTGCATTAATCATCTCATATTGATATTAGTTTAATTCAGTTTGAATCAAAATTTAAGAAAAAGTCGTATCAAAAACTTTTTAACATTCTGTATTTTTTACAAAAGTCAATTTTCTGACTTTACAATTACATTAACAGTTTAATTATTGATTAAAAAACTTTAAATTTAAATGAAAAATTATTAAATTAATTTATTTGGTTAGGATAAATGATTGATATATAATTAAAATTTTGTGTGGTTGAAACTTAAAAGCTAATATAATATTCCTTCAATACAGGATATAAAAAGGCCGGTAATACTAATTAAGGCTGTCTGTTTCTGACACTATTTTATGTTCAATATATTATTGTTAGATTAGCTGTGTGTTAAATAATAATAATAATAATAATAATAATAATTCTGTACAGCTGGACTATATATACATAATACGGAGTAATGTTGTATTCTTTCATTTTCGCTTAAATGATATCTATAAATAAAGAAACAATTTACTGAAAAATATATTAAATAAATTTTAACAAAACTTAAAAGTAAAATATTTTACAAACTACAAAGAGAAGGTAACTTTAAAAATACAAGGTGAAGCATGCAAAATAAGGGCCAACGTTAGAGTCGGCCTAGACGCATTGGTCAAATTAGGAGGTCGAGTTAGCTAGGCATAAGCTTGTTGGAGGTACCTGGGAGTAGAGATGACCATGGTTCCGGTTCGAACCGGAATCGTGACTGTGCAAATCGGAACCGATCGTACGGTTCCGGTTAAGGTTTGTAAAATTTTGGAATCGGAACCGGTGGTTCCGGTTCCAAATCGAAAAAAATTAAATATTATAGTATTTTTTTTTTTAAATAATTCCGGTTAGAACCGACAGTTCCAACCGGAACCGAAACCGAAACCTTACTATAAGGTTTCGGTTCCGGTTTTGCCATCCACGGAACCGGAATCGGAACCGTGGTCACCCCTACCTGGGAGATCCATGGTCAACCAAAGGTTGCCCAAAGAAGTAGTGGTCGCATTGGTTCCCGGTCCGGTCCTAGCATTGGCATGGAATGAGGTCTGTCATGGAGTCTCAGGGCCAGGTGATATGGTTGTTGGACAAAATCGAGTCTTAATAAAGTACCTTATTTACATAGAGGTTGTTAATGAACCACGTACTATAAATAGTTAAGATGATCATTGTTTATCAAGTATACACTTTTTGTTTCATTCTAATACTTTCCTTTGTAATACATACTTGAGCATTCTATAATAAAATATGTTATTCTGTTGCCCCCTTTAGACACTATCTCCACGCAATTCATATTTCATTAATCCTTAATCTTGTTATTAGGTTAATTAATTCAAATTCCCGAATTAATTTTCTCCATCATAGTGAACAAAAAACATTTAAAATTAGAAATATAAATGATTTAAAGTGTCACCTCTAATTATAAGAAATCAAATAATCTGTAGGAGAACATACAAGATGATGACAACGTAAATATTAATAATTTCAATTTCCAATCATTTAGCGGATAAGGTGATATCCAATTAATCCCCCATAGCCGATGGAGGCCGACATGTATGTTCCATTCATAATCGTCCTACCAAGAGGATATTATTATTATTATTATTATCATAATATGTTACCACATAATTAATGAAGAGATATTTATAATCCTAAAATTATGAGTGAGGGGTATAGTAGGTTGTCATATATGTTTGGTTGAAGCATCTTAATTAATTATAATTTCAAGACAAGATTAATAATTACATGTTTAATCATTGTTGATCGCTCATTTAATGAAAGGATGACATACTGTAATCGAGAATCATATCGTTAGTGAAGTCAAATTTATTTTACATACTATGAGAAGTATGAAAATTTAAAATTAAATTAATTTTTAATAATTAAAAAAGTGATATAATATTATTGAAGTATGCAACCTTAAGAAGGGGGTGAAATGGCTTAAAGGAGATGTTCTTTCTAGGGTTCCCATGCATAATATTATTAAAACATGCAAGGTTGAAGGATGCTATAAGAAAATAACGTTTCGTTAAGATTTGTCATGTGTATCTTGAACAAAATAGGGTCCTCTTCTATGGCTAAGGATGGTAAGGAGAGTTCATTTTCATCAAAGTTGATTATGTTTTCCCTTTCAAGTGTCCCTTGCCCCGCATTTTGACAAAAGAGTAAATTTTGACTTAATAGTTTGAAATAGTTGGTAACCATCCAATTGTAAAATAAATAGGCACAATTATCTGAACCAATTTCACATTGGTGAGATACTTAGTGTTTTACTCAAAAGGTAGAGTAAGTTTCAACATTCTAAGTGAGTGAACCATAATCAAGAAATGCTAGTAGTGGCACCGAAAAGCATTAGTACAGTTAAGCCTAGCTTATTAGTGAAATGAAATATAAAACTGAATATAGCTAAATTAAAATAATCAGTAATTAGAACAAGTGGCCAAATATGAATAAACTTGTTCATAACATAAATTATAGGCTATACAATAAATTGATCCAATCAATAATTTATTAAGATGAGCTATGGATCGGAGATCAAAAGAAGAATTTTGGTTTCTCAAAGACATTGAATTTAATTATGTAATAATGGAGATGAATTTAAAACCTTGCACATTGAGGTAGGGTAATTAAGTCTCATTGATAAACTATACTAATCATGTAACTAACTTTCGACAGACGAACATGCATGTAAGTAGCTAGTATTATTGTAGTTCATCTGATGGGAGTCTTAAAATTGTATTGTCATTAGATTAGATGTCTTCAATATAAAGACAAAGAAGGTGAAACTTGTTGGAAAAATGAGCTAAAAGTAATATTTTAAGTGGTGAGTTTATTTTTTATTTGAGTCAGGTTAAAGTGAATTTAAATTCTCCTACTTGAGAGATTAATTTAATATATTATATATTCAAAACTGATAATGATGAATGGGAAATTGATTCTCAATTTGTAACCTTGAAAAGGAAGTTTATAAAGTCATATCCAATATGTCTGTCAAAATTGATAAAGTTTATCGTTTGTCACTTGTATTTTAAAAATTGAAAATTTTCATAATAGTACATTTTACTCTACTGTTACGACATATCTACAAATTGACAAGATCTATTACAATTAATTGAACAAATCAAATATTTTGCATTCTGTCTATACTCTCTCTACAAACTATGTCAACACTTCAATTTTTGTGTAAGTGTTCGCCTTTATTATAAATTCTAATTTGTTGAAAGCAGTATATTTCAATGCTCAAATAATATATTATTGTAATCTATTGTATCCATATATATATATATACACCTTTTGCCTTCTCAATACATAGCCCCACGCCCCCACCTCTGTTTGTCCGTGAATCTGTGATTGTGTTCTGTTTTCTTTCATCATAAAAGAATACCAGAAAAACACAGTAATATGGTCCTGGATTGGTAACACTACAGTAAATAATACAAACAACATTATTATAACATTATAAGTTGGCGGGCAATGCAGCAAGCTAGACACCTAATCCCAACGGTCTTAACGCATTCCAACCTGGGACCCACATTTTGGACACTTTACAGTTGAAAACTTGATATTCGAGAAAATTTAGGCTGTAGTGTCCATAAAAAGCTGAGAATTCACAGGACAACCGTCTACCCTCTCTGCACTTTCCACTTTTTTTTTGAGTTCTCAACTTCATTCTTCTTTGTTTATCTGTACGCGTCGCTCAACAACCATACCTATAAATATACCTACTTTAATATAGATTCATGTTTATCAACCACTTCTTTTGCCCAATTCATTTTCTGGTATTGTCCGACTTAAAGTTAATATTAAGTTGTCATATTATCTAAGTTGACATATAAATGAAATAGTTTACAAGTAATAATAGGTAAAAAGAGGCCAATCCCAAATAGTTTTCGTCTTCTTTTAACGGAATAGTTTATTGATGTGACTACATGCTTTATAATATGTAATGTAATTGAAAGCAAAATCCAAATTGGCAAGCGCCCAAAATAATGGTACAGCTGATTTCATGAAGCCGTTGAATTCTGAAAGCGTAAGTTTAGGCGTTTAGCATGTGTGCCCACGTGGGGCCCAGTCATTAGCATTTTCTCGCATTCTTTTTTTTTTTTTTACCAAGAAAGAGAATTTGATTTAAGTAAATTTTATTTATGTGTAATAGTCAATAAATTATATAAAAGAAATAAATTATATTAAAAAAATTTTGTATAATGAATTTGACAAAAAAATGTTAGTAATAATCAAATAAATTGACCACACTTTTCAATACATTCATATTTTTTTTGAGTTTTATTATATAGACTTTCTATTTCTACTATTTTACTTTTACTCTCTAATATAGTAATGAATGATTAATTATCTTTATTTTGTGGATCAAGTAAAAAATGCCAATATCAAAATTTTGTAAAAAGAATAAAAATTGAGAGTAGAATTTTAGAATACAAATAGTATTTTTTTTTTTTTGTTCTTTATAGGGAAGTAGCGGTTGCATTATGGAATTTGTCACCTACTATGACAACAGGTGTCGCATGTATGACACAACATAATATACTCCGTATTACTTTATTTCACAGAATTTACTTTCCATTTTAATAATGAATAAAGCCTTCATCCTTTTTTTTCCCCCTTTAATTTCTTGAATTCAATAATGGGTTTCCGAACCCAAGTAGTAGGAGGTAGGAGGTACGATTAAGAGTGCGTTTAGTCCACGGAATGTTATATTACCACATAAAAAGTTAGATTATTGGGAATGTTAAATTATTGTGTTTAGTTAAAAATTGGGATATGTAACAATAAATTTATTTGGGTGAAGAGTTTTTTTTTTTTTTTTTTTTAATGGTATGATGATTTTTTTTACTTGAATATTGTTAACCTATTTTTATGTATTTTAATAAATTTAAAATTAAAATAAATAAGACAATGATAAAATATGGAAGTAAATGATTTAAAATTAATATGAACAAAACGTAACTAAAGCAATTAATTAAAATGACAAAATTAGCAATAACACAAGGGAATATGAGAATACCTAAGAAAAGAGAAAAACCTTGTGAGGAGGTTATGTTACATTCCCCGGGAAAAATTGCATAACTTGAACCAAACATGGGTATCTTATATTACAAAACAAATATAACTCTGGTTATCTTATATAACCTGAACCAAACACCCTCTAGGTACGAGTCATTATGTTGTGCATCCGTGTGCACCATGCATGGTGCACACAGATGCAAAAACGACGTCGTTTTGACGTCGACTTAAAAGAAAATTCAAAATTGCATAACTACACATTCATAATTTCATAACTATACATCAAGAATTGCATAACTACACATTCATAATTTCATAACTATACATCCAGAATTGCATAACTATACATCAAGAATTGCATAACTACACATCCATAACTTCTTTACTATAAATCCAGAATTGCATAATTACACATCCATAACTTCATAACTATAAATTCAGAATTGCCTAACTTCATAACTATACATTCATAATTGCATAACTACACATCCATAGTTTCATAATTATAAATCCAGAATTGCATAACCATACATCCATAATTTCATAACTATACATTTAGAAATTATGCACAACATAATGTTGTTGACGGGAATCAAAATTGATTTTTTTTTTTAAAGTTGGACGCGCGTTGGCAGTATGAGCATGTCTACAGAGAACAAAACCAACTTGCAGACAAGTTGGCGACCATGGCAACGATGCATTGAAGTGGCCTTCGCATTTTTGAGGCACCACCGCAAGAGCTCGTAGAGATGGTTTCCCTTGACCGGATTGGAGCTTCTTCGATGCGACGAATCTCCCAGCAAATGCATGAAGGAGTTAATGTTATTTAGTTGTTACGGGTATCCCCCTCTGATCCAAAAAAAAAAAAAGAAAAAAAAAAGAAATAAACGTAGACACCTATAAATTTAGGACCAAAAATAAAATTAACTCGATAAATTTGATATTATTTGGTAGTCTCAAATTTGGAATAAATAATGTAGTTGTATACCATGTTTCTATATATAAGTTATTTAAATAAATAAAAATAGTGAAAAATATATTAAGAAAGTATGTATAAACAAATACTACATTATAACAGAGTAAATAGTAAAAAAAAAAAAATTTTGCATGAATTAAATGCAAGATTTGATTTAAAAAAAAAAAAAAAAAGATAAAGAGAAGGAAATGGGTCCAAAGTGAATTAAAGTGGTTTACTTTCTCCGCCTATGCGTTGCTTTCTCCGTGTCCGTCCCAAAAAATATTTTACTTACTATCAATACACTATACATAGTTTTAAGCCTAAAGGGAATGGGATGGCGTGATGTTGCCACCTTTCAAATTCCAGCTGCCTATTCATAATTTGTAGCTTTCCTCATTAATATGGGCAAATTTAAATGATATTTTAATGATTTTCATTGAAATGGTAAACATTATATGTTTAGGCTGCGTCTAATTTAAGTTATGTAACATAATTGGGATAACGTATAAATGAGTATCTTCAAGGTAATGTGATTATTTTTGTCGTATTGTGTTAAATTATGAGATAACACACATAATATGACGTTATTGTCATGTTAGATTTTGTGTTATTTTCAAAGTAATGTGATTACCTTTTTCACCTTGGATTTTATAACATTATACATTGGTTATGTTGTATTTTTTTTTAAATATTTTTACCCTTTAAAATACACCCAAATAATTATGTATAGTTTTAAAATGGAATAGTATTATTAAGAAATCATAGCATTACAAATAAAAGGAGGAAGAGTGATGGTTCAAAGTCCAAACCCTCAACCAGTTTAGAAACTCGTAGCCCTAGCTTAAATGAGCTACCAAATTAGTTGATATTCTAATAAAAGAACTGGTAATATTATTAGTAACTCAAACCTTTGCTCATTGCGCACAAAGAACTCCGGCAGTGAGACTCAATCACTGGTCATTCTTCCAAACTTTCACTTATGACCAATTGAGCTGTTCATGTGGGCAGAATTCTACATCATTCTTCCAAAGGTTGAACCCCAACCCTAAAGGCAGAATTCTACATCATAGTAATACAATTCGTAGCCCTAGCCTAATCAATTACTATTAGGTTGACAATTTTTTAAAACACAACTATGTAATTTAATTATCATTTCAATTAAAAATCACATTCCTTAATTAAAAATGAGTATCATTATATCTTATTGGTGATCTAATTTTTAATTTTGGGTTAGTACTTTTAGATTTTTGTTTTGATTTTTTTTATATTAATACTTTGGATGTCATTATCTTAGAATTAATTGCCTTAATTTTTTATTTTTGTATTTTTAAAAAATATGTATTCATATTATTAGGTTATAGACAACCAAACATCAATATTGGTAATAATTATAATTCCACCTACTACCAAATATGCAAAATACTTTTTATAAAAACTATTATCATTACTAACTATTTGATTCTCAATCCAATTTAAATTTTCATGTGCGAACCAAATACAACTGTAATATTATATTCTCAAAATCTAAAATAAACAAATACAAATATAGTCATAAAATAATGTTATATTTTTTTTGTAATCTCACGTCACTCTCAAATATAATGCTTTCACATGTAAAATAGAGTATATGTTTTTATAGAATTATAATTATAATTGGAGGGATTGGATATGTAATAAAAGGAATAGGTTTTAACACCCAACGTCATTGGCCCAGTATTCGGCGATACCGCGTGGTCAACACTTGAACCGACTGAACCGGTTAACCTTAACCCCGCTGTCTTCTTCACCGGAAACCCTACGCTCTTTTCACTAATCTTCATCATCTTCTTCCTTTTTTCTCTCTCTCTAGAAAACTCTGAAAATGGTGAAAACAAACCGGTGGGAATAATATTTTCTACAAGCAGAGTGAATTTCGCCCACTATTCATAGCCACCATCTTCTTCGGATTATTGTTTCCGTCACCAAATCATGCGTTTTTTCCAAATCAATTTACCTCTTTCTTATCCAATCGCTCATCTCTCTCTCTTGGGTGCCAACCATACCTCCGCTCGATTCTGCGCGAGATAAACCGCGTTTTCTATCTCTCGCTCTGAACCCTTTCCTTCTTATTCTCACACGGGAACAAGCAAAGCATTAGATACAGATTGTGTACGCAAAAAAAGGATCTTGTTCGGTATGGATCACGGCGCCGGGAAGTCGAGCTTCCTGAGGAATATACTGGTGCGGGTGTTCTTGTTCTGCGTTGCCATTATTGGGTTTCGGTTCGCCTATATTGTGACACTCCGAGGGGAGTCATGTGACCTAGGCGACTTTTGTTTCTTCTCGCTGCCGGAGAATTTCAACATTGTCTCCGTGACTACCCAGCTCACGAAGCCATCGGCGGCGGTTATGACCAGCGAGGCGGTCGGGAAGTCGGCCCCGGCGAAACCCAAGCTCCCCGATCTCTGGGCCACCAAGGATTTCCAGAAGGCGGCCAAGTTCTACTCGTCCGTGTTTCAAGATCTGATCGCGGAGGGATTTTTGAACCCGTATTGGAAGGCCCTTTGCGTTGATACGGAAAAGGGTCCCGACGTTTTCGCCCTGAGAGAGATCGGAGTCTCGGACTCCGTCGGGATTTTCAAGAAAGCGTCGAAGCCGCTGGTGGTTTCCGGGCAGGCTATTAAGCAGCCTTTCGACGACAACTCCTTCGATTTCATATTTTCCGGTGCCGGCATGATCGATAAGTCCAAGAAGACTGCAGAGTTTGCGGGCGAGATTTGCAGGACTCTGAAGCCCGAAGGGTTTCTGGTTGTCCATACAGGTTCCAAAGATACGTATAGTTTCAATTCTTTGATTGGTTTGTTTAACTGTTGTAAATTGGTGAAGTCTAGGGATATTGATGGGTTTGATTCAAAACTGTTATCTATTCGTGAAATTATTATGCAAAAAGAGGGTGAAGGTGGTAGCCATGGCTTGAGAAATCCCAGTTCTGGGACCAAATGCTCTGTGCCAGATTACAAGCTGCAATTGATCAGAAAAGCTGAGCCTTTGATCATGGAGGAACCAAAGAAGCCATGGATTACTCTGAAGAAGAATATAGGGAACATAAAGTACTTAACTTCAATGGCTGATATCAGTTTCAAGCAGAGATATGTGTATGTTGATGTTGGATCAAGGAGCTATGGCTCCAGCATTGTGAGTTGGTTTAAGAAGCAATACCCGAAACAGAACAAAACCTTCGAGATTTATGCCATTGAGGCCGACAAGACATTCCATCAAGAGTACAAGATCAAGAAAGGTGTGACATTGCTGCCATATGCTGCTTGGGTGAAGAACGAGTCATTGTTCTTCGAGATTAACCAAACCCCGGGCGACAAAGATGTGGTGAAAGGGCGAGGAATGGGAAGAATTCAGCCGGCGGTTCAATCATCAGGCGACACCGTGAGCGATGTGGATAGGATACAAGCTTTCGACTTTGCTGAGTGGTTGAAGAGCGCAGTGAGTGAGAGGGATTATGTTGTGATGAAGATGGATGTGGAAGGGACTGAATTCGATTTGATCCCGAGGTTGTTTGAGACGGGGGCAATTTGTCTGATCGATGAACTGTTTCTTGAATGCCATTACAACCGGTGGCAGAAATGCTGCCCCGGGGAGAGGAGTTCCAAGTATGAGAAAACCTATGGCCAGTGCATGGATGTGTTTACTTCTCTTAGAAAAAGCGGAGTTCTTGTTCATCAATGGTGGTGATTGATAGCAACCCGGAAACACTGTCTCTAACTTCACCTTCTTTAGTCTGCTGCCATTTTCCAGTTTACACAAAGAAAATTATACCAGTTCTTTTTATTTAGATGCTACTTGTACTCTTTATTTCATTTGTATGTATTTTTGTCTCTTTCAAAAGAAATCAATCTACATTCGAAGTCTTTACTTCCCATTCTCTGAATTGCAAACCCTTGTTTTCTATGTAGAAAGAACATTGAGATGATCTCCAAAGTGTAAAATTTCAATTTGAATAGTTCTCATGCAAGGCTGTCTCGTGTAAGACTAAAAATATAACAGTAGTAGATGTGTAAGGATATAGGATTGAGCCTGACAACCGTAATGTGGAGTTACACCAAATGTGGTGGTTTTCTTGTAAGCATAAGCACGGGTCCTTTCTATCTTATCTGGTTGGGGTATGGGGCCTAACAACCACAATGTGAACCCAATGTATGTGGAGTTACACCAAATGTAGTGGCCTTCTTGTGGGCATAAGCACGGGTCCTTTTTTATCTTATCTGGTTGGGGTGTGGGGTCTGACAGTCACAATGTGGACCCAATGTCGTAATGTAGAGTTACACCAAATATGGTGATCTTCTTGTGGGTATCAAGCACGAGTCCTTTCTATCTTATCTGGTTGGGGTGTGGGGCTTGACAATCGCAATGTTGAGTTACACCCCAATGTATCTATCTTATCTGGTTGGGGTGTGGGGCCTGATAGTAACAATGTGGAGTTACACCCCAATATGGTGATTTCTTTGTGGGCATCAGAAATAAGTCCTTTCTATCTTTATTTGGTTGAGGAACGAATCCTTTCTATCTTATCTGGTTGGGGGGCAAAAATGTACTTGTGGAATTTGGGTTGGCTAAAACTGCTCCAAATTGAGCTGTTTAACATGAAAGGCATCATTTGTTTTCCAGTTCTTTTTCAGAACTCTCACTGCAAATTCTGTGATTAGATTGTGGAGTTCTCTGATTTTATGGTGTTTGATGAACTTGTGATTAAATGATTGATGAAACCCGCTGTGATTCTTTATAACTTTTTTGGTCTCCAAAGAACCATTATTTCTGCACCTTATCATCTTCTACCTCCCTAACTAACAATTAAAATATCAGAATGAGTCTGAAATTCATGGTGAAAGAACCACAATCCTAGAGGAATGAGTAAATTTGTGGGTAAATTTGAGAGGCAGAGGGAGTTGTTTGGAAGCCCTCCATGCCATAACTCAATCTTGTGGAGGTAAATGAGTCAAAGCTCATCCCTTCAAAAATGGGGGGATCAAAATGAAAGGGTAAAAACCATAAATGTATAATTAAGAATGAATAAAAAGGAAAGGAGGGGAGAGAAGAGGGGCAGGGGTTGTGTAGAAACATAAGAGAGGTGAAATTGATGGGTGAGGTGCCATCTTCATCTTCCCCATCAAACAAAGCCCCTCTTCTCAGTTTGATATTGGGCGATTAATCTGGCAAAAATACATATAATTTTTCTCCTAATAACATAGTTGATCTCATTTTCCCCACAAATCATGAATGTTTTGCTCATTTCATGAGACAACAACATTCATGATTTGTGACTTTCTGTACTAGAAACCAAATCATTCGTCCCTTTCGTTGTAAATCCAACAATTCTGAATCAGGGCAAATCGGCTCGATCCTCCCCAAGATTTGATCATTTTCTTGGAGAAAGTTGCAATCTTGGTCATTGGGTGGGTCGATCAAAATAGAATGACATTGATTGATTGATTGATTGATCGATCTCCAGAAGTTGAGTTTCTTGAAGGGCTGTATGAGAATAAGAATGGGTGCTTGCTGTACCTGCCAGAGGGTGAAGAAGCGCGAAGTATATCGAGTTAAAAATGCAGAAAACAAGGAGGAGAGGGAGGCTGATGAAGAACATGATGGCATCGTAGGCAGAGGAGATTTCGGCGCTCGTGTCAGGTTACATGGATCTTCCAGATTCGTTTCCATGTATTCTCAGCAAGGCAAAAAGGGTGTCAATCAAGACGCCATGACTGTCTGGGAGGTACCCACATTTTTATTTTCCCGACATAATAAAGATCTGCATTTACGCATGAATGAATGAATGATTTTGCTATGATTATTATGTTTCAGCACTTTGGAGGCGAAAAAGGTGCATTCTTCTGTGGTGTGTTCGACGGACACGGCCCCTCCGGCCACCGGGTGGCGCAATTCATTCGTGACCGGTTACCGTCAAAGCTTTCAGTGGCGTCAAAGGATAATAGCCAGGATTTTGAGAAGGACATTCATCATCATCCATTGTTTTCCAAGTGGAAATCCACTTTCCCCCAATCCTTCAAGGACATTGATAATGCACTTGAAGGTGAGGAAAAGATCGACAGCTTCAGCAGTGGCACAACAGCTGTTACTCTAATCAAACAGGTATAATCATATAATCAACATTAAAACAGTAATCAATAATTGATCAACATATTATTTAATAGTATGAAATGAAATTTGCAGGGTGAACATTTGATAATTGGTAATCTGGGAGATTCTCGCGCTATAATGTGCACCAGAGACGATACAGATCAACTTGTTCCAGAACAACTCACCGTCGACTTGAAGCCTAATCTTCCCGGTAAGGTTTCTTTTTCGTGTTATATCACATTATTATCACTGTGAATGATATAATTAATATGTGTTGTGCTAATCAGTTGAATCTGAGCGTATTAAGAGCTGTAAAGGAAGAGTAATGGCGACGGCAGAAGAACCAAATGTGTTTAGAGTGTGGATGCCTGAACAAGATTGCCCTGGGCTCGCCATGGCCAGAGCTTTCGGAGATTTCTGCTTGAAGGACTACGGCGTCATCTCCGTCCCTGAGATTTTCTACAGAAAGATTTCCGAGAGAGATGAATTTGTTGTTCTAGCTTCTGATGGTGTAAGTTAAATCCGTAACACATCTGTTGAGCATATAACCATTAATGTGCAATCCAACTATAACATGTTTCAATTTGGTATCAGCTGATATGATATATGATAAGCGTGTTTTTAGTTGAGATGGAGCATATGTTTCAATTACCTCCATTCATCAAAATTTTGATCATTTATAATGTTGTTGTGACACATTTTTTGTGTGTGTCAGGTTTGGGATGTTCTGAGCAACTATGAGGTGATCAAGACGGTTGCGACGGCGAAGAAGAGATCCATGGCGGCGCGTCTGGTGGTGGAGAGGGCGGTCCGGACATGGAAACAGAAGTACCCGTGTTCAAAGACCGATGATTGTGCGGTGGTGTGTCTGTTCTTCAAACGCCCCAAACCAATGCTATTGAAAACTATGTCCCAAGCGGCGGGGCTTAACATGAGCTTCCCGGAGACCGGCCGCAACGAGGAGAACTCCGCCATCATCGCCGAGACCGACGACGGCCTTGACACGCTCCTCAATTTCAAGGGTACTGAAGAGGGAGAGGACGGCGATGGAGGAGACCTGCCGGAACGCCACCGCCGCAGAGCCCGGGTTCGTCCAATACCCAGCTGAGCTAAAATTTTGAGTATGTAGAGGCTATAAATTTATCTGTAAATCTTTAAATCTACATTTTTGTTCAAAGAAATGTAAATGAATTGAGCAAATTAAACTAAAATCTGAATGTAGTACATGCATACATGTATCAAGAACGCCATGCAAGATTTCCAGAACGAACTGAATTGAAAGATTATTATATTACAACTTCATTATGGAGGATAGGAAAACAGGCTGAATTTCCCAGAATTTATTCCATTTGAAACTCCCTAACAGAACCTAATCTTCATGATCCCATAAATCTGCAACATTCTTGAAAGGCCCATCAGTTTTGTTCACAAACATATCTTCCCCGTCAAGAACTCGTCTCTGCAGAATTGAACACATTCTTTATTTCGTTAGTTAAGGATTCAAATTATATTGGACAGAAAAAGAGTTACCTGATCTGGGATACTGGAAAGAGCTTCGAAATCTTGTTTGGGTATTTCCCAATCGAATACGCTAATGTTTTCTTTGATCCGGTGAGCATGGTTTGATTTGGGAATGGTGCTGGTGCCTCTTTGAATAGCCCACTTCACAAGAACTTGCCCAGGGCTTTTGTTCAGTTTGTTAGCCACCTTCTCTACCATGGGGTTATGCACAAGATCGCGTTCATCTGAACCCAGAGGTGAATAAGCCTGAGAACCAAGATTGCAGAAATAAGTAAAGATTTGAACTCATGACCTTTTGTTTGGCTCTGGTACTAAATTGAAGTTGTTCCATCTCAACTAAAGCTTTTAGTTGATAGTTAGATTGCACATTAATGGTTATATGCTCAACAAATTTATTACCGTCACATGGATGTTGTTGTCCTTGCAAGCATCTAACATTTTGTCATTTCTCCACCCAGGATGCATCTCCATCTGAGATATATGCAGACAAAATGAATTCCCAGTTAGAATGAATTTCTATTATGATGCCATGCCATTTATATATATAGGATGTGGAAGCTAGCAATATTCACCTGGCAAACAGAAGGCTTTATCTTGGCAATTCTTAGAAGCTTGTTAAGTTTGTTGACAGTGAAATTGCAGACTCCAATATCTCTCACCAGTTTATCTGCTACAAGCTTCTCCATTTCTCTCCAAACTCCTTCCATGTCAAAGCCTGAGACCTCCCCGGCTTTTGGAGGCCTGCTAGCTCCCTCCTTCAGGTGGAATGGCCAATGAATCTGTTCGCCCAAACCATATTTTCCATTATTACAGGACCGACAAAGGAAGTTGGGGCTATAGGTAGTTCTTGCTGGAATTAAACTTGTAACCTGGGATTATATTGATTAGAAAAGCATAAATATATACCAGAAAAAGATCAAGATAATCAAGTTGCAGCTCCTGAAGTGTATTCATGAGTGCAGGGCGAACCCTTTGAGGTGATAAGTCAGTGCACCTGCAAATCCAACAAGTAGAGCAGAACACTGCAAAATTTATAACTCTGATCTGGGTTTCCAAGATTTACATACAGTAGTGTAAATATTGAGAACTCATACCATAATTTAGATGTAACAAAGAGAGTTTTTCTCTCAACTCCGGCGTGTATGGCAGCTTTCAGTCCCTCTCCTACCCCCTGCTGGACTCCATACTGGGCAGCCGTATCAACGTGCCTATACCCACCCTGCACCCATGCACAACAATCATTCACATTACAGAATGAAGCTTTAATTTTCACAACAAAAATTAAAAGGAAAAAGAAGAATGGGGTGGGCACCTCAACAATGGCGGCGTATACATTATCTCTGGGGTGTTGGACTTTCCAGGTGCCAAGCCCTATGGCTGGGATGATGTGGCCGCTGAGCAGCCTGAAAGATCCCACTTTCTCATTTCTGGCTGTTACCGTCATCTGCGCCATTTTAAGTTCTGCTTCTTTAATTTTCTTCTTCGTTTCTCAGTTAGCTTCCTACAAACAAATAAAGCCTGGAATTGAAGTGTATATGGAAGAGAGACATTCCAGAGGATACACGTCAGGCGGTTCATGAAACCTGTCTCAAAACTGGGCAAACCACGTGTCTTTTTTTTTTTTTTTTTTTTAACCCAGTGCCACCTATCGGATTATTATTATTATTATTACTATGCCAAAAAAAAAAAAAAAAATACTACAATCTTACTCTTTTTTTATTACATTAAGTATCACAATTTACACCAGAATTTCTGGAGGTAAATTGCGAATTTTAAATCGTGCCTATACATTCTATACACATAGAGTCTTTAATCCCTTTGATCTGTCAAGGTCTCTCAATGACCCTATATATTTCAGTAGGATTTGAACCTCATACATTGCGTGAGAGTGAGACTTTAAGATAATTGATCAAACGAATAAAGCTATGCCCATGGAGCCAATCTTACTCTTTATATATACTCGAATTATTTTTCACTTTTGGCTTTTTAAGTATTACAACACTTTCACATTTAGTTCTCAAGTATTACTTTTACCATATTTAATGTACAATTTTTTCCATTACATTTGGTCACTTCAAGCAAACCTCCAATAGAAAATAATCAAAATGCATCACATTTTTAGTTAAAAAAACATACAGTTATATACAAAAACATCAAGATATTCAAGTTGGTATAATTTTGAGTTGAAAATATGATAAATTTATATCATTTTTACCATAAATTTGGTCAGAAGGACAAAATATAGCAAATAAATAAATAAATAAAAGTCATGCTGAAAATTTGACTGAAACACTTAATAACCAAATATTAAAATAATTTGTAAATTATATAGTTCTGGATCAAAATTCACATTGTAATATGGATCATGGTTTGTGAACCATACAAACCATGATACATGGTATAATTTGCAACTAACAGAGCCTACTACATTCGATACACCAACTATTTATGGCCTTTTGATCGAATTTAACGTTCAGGGTCGAAAAATGTATGATACCAATCGTTATATCGTGCACCAAGGTGCACAATACATGTACATCCTAACCTAAAACGACGACGTTTTTATAAGTTGGTGGAAAGTTGACGCGATGGACACCGTTTCGTCCGTTCAATTCCGTTATAATTTTTTTAACACTTGTATTTATGTGTATTATGTATTATGTTAGATTATGTATATTATGTTAGGAGTTTATGTATATTTTACTATACAATTCTATACATACGAAACAGAGAATTTTTTATTTTTAAGAAGTTAATGGTAGAAACGAGAAACAAATTTCCTTTAAAAAAAAAAAACATTCAAGATACACAATTCATTATGCGCCCGGGTGCACGATATAATTTGCCATACAATACGTCTACAATCTCTTGAGTCTTGCGGTCCATTCTTTGCCGAAAAGGGAAGCAAAGCAGGTGGGCCTTAGCTCATATATAATGTCCACTTCTCGTAGTTGTATCGCATGTCACAAAGTTATACCTTTTTTTGTTACGAAGTATATTGCATGATATTCACATATCGCAAAACATGGTGATAAGTATATTCGGAGCATATTGCATTAGTCATATTTGTTGGACAAATATCACTTCTGTTATCAGTGGCAGATCCAGAAAATTACGTAAGTGAGGACGTACTTAAAATGATTTTAGAATTGTTAATGCCAAAATATCAAACACCTATAATACGGTTTAAATATATTAATAAATTATAATAAAATATTTATAATAGACTATGGCTCTGTTTGGTAAAAAATTGGCCTATAGGTCAATTTTGACTTATTTGACTACTATTAATTGTTTGATTTAGTTAAAAGATCAATATAAATGTTTGGTTAATTAGCTTTTTGCAACTCTAAAATGCTAAAATTCAAAAAGCTACTCCAAACAACTTTTTCAATTAACTTTTTGAGAGAAGAAATTATACCAAACAGCTATTAGCTAACAGCTAATTTACCAAACACTTTTCTACAATCAGCTAATGTTATCAACTATTTATACCATCTAATTCACACAATCAGCTAATAGCTAACAGCTATCAGCTAACAACCATGTTACCAAACACGGCCAATATGATAGTTAGGAATGAAGCCAAAACTTAGGGTGAAATTTTAAAACACATTAAAATATTATAAAAATATTTATAGCAAAATATTGTGAACTACATTAACTAAATGATTCACAAAAAAGGTGGGTAGAACTAAAATAAAGAAAAGAAGTTAAAATATACTAAAGTATTGTAGGTGGGATTTGAACACATACCACTTCATATATCATAACCAAAGTTTAACCAACTACAGTGCTGAATTACTTGGTCATTTGTACATATGAATATATATTAATGGGAAGAGGTGAGTGGGGGCAGCTGACTCCACTGCCCCCATTGTGGCTCCGCCACTGTCCGTTATCACCATCTTGAAGATCACATCATTGTCTTACACGTGACACCATCAACTTGACCTGCTTGTACCCAAGATAAGGCTTCATGAGATGATCTCCAACACACGTCAAACCTCCAAATACAAAAATAGTAAATTTTCAAGCATAAACATGTTCCACTTCCTCACTTCATTAGAGCCTTCTAACCTCATTATAACTAAAAATTGCACACATGGTATAACATGTTGGGTATTACTATCACACAAGTAAGGGTGTGTTTGGTTGATGGGTTTTGTCCATAGGAATGGTCGAATGGGTATGAAAATGATTGTTATTGTTTGGTTGATAGGTTTTTAGAATACGATTATGGGTTTCGAATACCTCATCAATTGAAAAACTCATATCCACATAAAATAAGGGTTCATTCCCTTATTTATTCTCAAACACTACTATTAGTAACCATTCCCATTCCACCCTACTACCAAATATGTTAAATACTTTCACTAAAACTCATTACCATTACCAAGTATTTGATACCAATTGCGATTCCGTTTCTCATGTGCGAACCAAACACACCCTAACTTAGAACATTCTTACTGGTTGGGTTTTTGGGTGCCGAGTAGATAAATTGAACTCTAATGTGCTTAGCAAAAATACAAATTAGCCTCGGCGCGATCCTTTTTCTGGCTCTTTCTTAATTTGTTCTTATAAAATTTATTCTCTCTCATATCTCCGTCATTATACAAATTTCTTTTAAAACTTTACTAAAACCTCTCCATGAGCAAGATCTTAAATTTCAATCAAACCCAATTCATGGAATACTACTTTAGTTGGGTACATTATTCCACAACATACAATATGTAATGCTAGCTAACTTAGTTGAGTTTCAATCAAATGATGAATATTTCAAAGATACTTATACATAAAACTAAGTGGCTAACCACCTCCGTGCAAAGATTGCCCTTCAAAATTAGATGGCATTTTCTTTTTTCTTTTTCTTTTTTAATTTGGTTTATTTCCACTTTTTAAATTCGTTATTATAGAATTTTTATTATTAAATATGATGTGAAAATAAATTTTTTTAAAAAAATTAGATGAAATTGTATTGATGTCGAAAAAATGGTTAAATAATTTAAATTTTAATGATTTAAAAATACAATATTTTTTTATAATTAAGAGAGTATTTTACTATAAGTCTATAACGATAGACTTACTTTAAACTCTTGACTTGTAACACATTTTACATAAAATAAAAAAATACTACATGTACTCTTACTCCTTACTTTCTCTCGCAAGTATTTGACGTAGACACTTTTTTGAGGACCCACGTAATGAAAATATCAAATTCTTATTTACTTCATCATCATATAGTAAAAATGAAAAAGTAGAATTTGAAAATACATATAGTAAAACTCTTTTACATACCATCATTTTTTTTTAATACATTTTACCCTCTTTGGTCAACACACAAAGATATTGTACAAGTAGTAGTAAATCCTTCACTATTGGGAACACAACAAATGGTACCATTTAACCCAGACGTAGACCACACGTTATTTGTGAAATGTGAATACCGTGTCACCCGTGGCCACTTCTTTTGCTACCATACCAAAATGTCTTTTCAATTTATATTTTTTTAGTAACCAATAAAAATAAATAATGAAAACAGAAAAATTATTATATAAAAGAATCTTGAAATTTATAATATTTTTTTAGTCAAAATTTAATATTTTTATTAAATTCATCAAAATATTATATTTTACTCAAAAGTATTACACTTAACACTCACATAAGACTTACTTTAAGAACAAATATGGTACTCTAGTAATGTCATTCTCATTTAAGTGTACTTTATATTTTATAAGATAGACTATCTTTTTTTGGACGAGGGAATCTCATTGTCACTTTTGGAGTATAATTTGGATAAATTTCGCTCTTATATAATAACTCATAAATCACACAAGAGAAGACAAATTTAACCAAAAGAATGTTGACAAATATTAAACTAGTGATCTCCTGAGAAGCATTCTTCACCCACTAGGCCAACCTTTCGGGACAAGTTATACTAACACAAAACACAATGCACGGTAACTTACAACATTACAAAATTTGTCTAATCATCATATTATGGTATTTTGTGATGAATGGGTGAAAAAATGTAATTAGCAAATGAGAAAGGAGAGAGTGGGGAATCTTCCAAAGTGTGTAAGCAGATGAGAAATAAGGGTAGGGGACGCAGAAATTGCAGGCCACCTCGGAGATGGGGAAGGCAATGGAAATGGTAAAAAGGAAGGAAAAGAAGACCACCATTAATTGCACACAAGACTTATTGGTAGAGATAGATGATTGCATATATTGCCGTACCCAATATTCAAGAACACAATAACACCACTCGTACTGTATGTAGTTCTGTCACCTTCTTCATATTTCAGAAGTGACAAACAATGATATCAAATCACAAAAAAAAAAAAAAAAAATGAAAGAGAAGAAGAAGAAAATCTATTGATACAGTGATGATGATTAAATAAAACACTACAAAACACAACACGTTCTTCTTTGCCAGAGATTGACCCCACCCCCACTTTGCTTTCTTTTTCAATTTTTTCTTTTGGGGGGTTTGCTGTTTATTGGTGTA